CCCCCCCCCCCACCCCGTGATGCCACCTGCCCTCGCCCCTGCCGCGAGCCAGCCCGGGTTCCAGAGCCAGGTTCTCTAGCTCTATTCTCTGGGGTTTGACGCCCACCACCACCGCCAGGCACACACTGAACGATCAATGTTTTGGAAATGATACGTTGCACAACCAGCGGGATGGGGTCTGGGAGACAGGGCCTGTGGTCATCCAGACTCAGTGTCCACTTCTGGGGCTGACTCTTGGGTGGGTGAGAAAAGGGGCTGCCAGACCAGGCCCTTGGCTATAAGTGGAGGTCTCTGCTCTGTCTGCACCAGCTTGGGGTCACCTCAGTCGTGCAGTCCTCAGGAGCCCACTGACCACAGGCCGAACTGGTTGCCAACCCCTTCTCTGAGCACCGGCTGCACACCAGAGCAGGAAATGGCCCCAAAGAGTCTGACAGGACTCCCTAGCTGCCGTAAGCGGATCTAGGCTGAAGGGCCTAGTCTAGTCGGGTCTCATTTAGTCGGTCACCATAGCAGCACCTGGGGTGTAGCTGGAGCCCTGTGAGGAGTACATATCCCCTAACCCCCTTTGGGTCCCTGGGCACTCACTGGGGCCCATGGACTCCGGGGCTGCACAGGCAACGCCCCGACTGGAAGTCGCAGTGGCCGCTGCCGCAATCGGCGCACACGAATGCACAGTCCTCGCCGTAAGTGCCATTGCTGCACTTGGTCTCGCACCTCGGAACGCGGGGAGAGGGAGTCAGTGGAAACGGAAGCAAACAAACCGAAAGCCCATAGTGCGCTCCGCGGAGAGCATTCGGGGATTGGCGGGGCTGGGGCTGCGTGCCTGGGATACGTTCGGGCATGGGCTGCTTGCTCACCGGTCGCCGATCCAGCCCGCGTTGCAGCGCGTGCACTTGCCGGTGACGTGGTTGCAGGCATGCCCGTCGCGGCACGGCGGGCAGCGGTGGCCGCAGCCCTCGCCGTAGAAGCCGGTGGCGCATGGCTGGTCACACTTGGTGCCGTTCCAGCCTGGCTCGCATGTCAGGCAGCGGCCCTCGGCCACCGTGCAAGGCTGCTGGCCCTTGCACTGGCCGCATCTGGGGAAGGGGCGGGAGGCTAGGCGGGGCCCAGAGCCACCTCACCCCGGTCCCCTTCGGCGCTCCGCCCCCCTCCTCCCCTCCCCTCCCCAGCCAGGGGCCCGAGCTTACCGGCGGCGGCAGCCCAGGCCGTAGAAGCCGGCAGGGCACGGCTCCCGGCAGTACTTGCCACGGTAGCCAGGCTCGCAGGCGCACGTGCCGTCCACAGGGTGGCAGCGGCCGCGAAAGCATTGGCAGTAGCGCTCGCAGCGCGCGCCGAATGTACGCTCGCGGCACTGGCAGCGGCCGCTCTGTTGCTCGCACGGCGATGTGTTGCAGGCGCACTGATTGTTGCAGCTGCGGCCCCACCAGCCTGCGTGGCACAGGCACGCGCCCGTCTGCGGGTCGCAGCGCGACGTGGCGCTGCAGTAGCACGCGCTGGCGCACTGAGCGCCCCACCAGCCAGGCTCGCAGCGACACGCGCCGCTCCGCGGGTGGCACACGCCGTGTTGGCACTGGCACGCATGCTCGCAGCGTGCGCCCCAGCGCCGCGCGTGACACGTACACTGGCCTGTCACATCCTCGCACTGCCCATGCGGGTGGCAGATACACAGCTCCTTGCAGTCGGGGCCCCAGAACTGGCGCGGGCACTCTGCAGGAGCGGACGGAAAGGGTGTGAGGCCAGGGTGCTCTCGAGGGAGCCCAGATCCAGCCAGAACCTACCCGCGTCCCGCCCTCCGCCTTTGGGGACCCTCCCCCCATGCTGGATCCCTTTCCCGGATCAGACCGCTCCCACTCACAGGCTCTGCCCCACTACCCAGCGCCCACCCGGATCCTAGCTCACTGGTGTCGCAGTTGGCACCGAAGTAGCCATGGCGGCAGCGGCACTCGCCAGGCCGCACGCACACCTCATTCTCCGAACACGTGGAGTTGCCTTCGCACACCGCTGCGGACAAAACGGGTCTCAGCTGCCGCGTGTGATGCCCCCACACTATCCCCTCTTCCTCTCCGTGCCCCCACCCCCTGCCCAGGTCCCCAGTGTGCCCCACTCACCGACCCCACACTCGTCCCCCTGCTGCTTCCAGCCGGTGCAGCACGTGGGCTCCTGAGAGCTGCAGGCAAAGAAAGAGCTCCTGAGCCTGAGCCCCAACCCCTGTTCTTGCTAGGGCTCCCCAGCAACATCCACCCTGCCCTGGGGAAGTGGTTATGGAGGCCTTGCCATATGCCAGGTACTGCTGTAGGTTCAGATTTCCAGCAAATAAGACACACACTCCAGCCCTGGGGAGCAGACAATGGGAGGCCGCAGAGGGCAGACCACCAAGAGATCTAACCTCCAAGAACTTCTCAGTCCCTTCTATAAAGGGTCTTCCCTCCCCTCCCCATTCCACCTAACTCCTCTGTGATCCACCCCCACTCCAACTAGACCTGAGAAAAGAACCCCAGGTGTCCCAGAATGGGCTGGTGAGAGAGGTCCTTGAGTCTCCAGGACCTGCTTAAAGTGACATCACTGGAGGTGGGGGTCCAGCCAGATGGGTGTCAGAATCTAGCTGTGACCTGGACAGCTGGGACTGGTGGGGCCTGACAGGTACACCTGGATACCGGGTTGGTGTCCACTTGGTGGAGGGGCAGGGCACACCCTGGGAGTCCTCCATGACAGCAAGGAAAGCAAAACAGTGAGGGCTCCAGAGCACCAGGGCAAGACTTAGAATGGAGGGAGGAGATATTAGAGCATCTACTTATGTGTTTTAAACATCTTATTGTAATTTTATTTGGTTTTACAAGGTACATGACGTTAGCTCAGTAGGAAGTAAATAACAGAACTGTTGCATTTCAGGATAGTACAGCCTCCCAAACCCCTGGGCACAAAAGTTTGGAGGCCCTGCCAGAGTGAAAGGTGCCACTCGAGAGGGCGAGTGGGGGTTCACAGGGGATGTGTCCACATTTGGGGAACAAAGGAGGCTGAGAAGAAGGAATGGACACTCAGGCTGCAGGTTCGTGGGTCCCAGCAGACCTAGAACTTCACCCAGATCCTGAAGTCACAGAGCAGCCATTGCTATTTGAGAAAAGGAGTATGCCCCTTCAGGAGTCTGATCTAGAACCAGGATGTGGTGTTGGGAGGCAGTAAGGAGGAGGCGTGAGACCCTGGTGGGTGGGACCAGCTGGGAAGGGAAAGGCTGCAGGTGTCCATATCGTGCCCGTCAAAATGCCCCCTATCCCTTCCCCAGCAGAGAACAATGCCACACCTGGGATGCCACCCCCCCCCCCCAAACGGTTTGATTCTCCCTCAGTCCAAAGATGAGGAACCTTGGGAACAGGAATCATAAAATCCCAGCCTGCAAGGGATGGGCCCAGCTTATTTTCCACAAATGAAACTGGAAACCAGACCCAGAAACACAAAGCAGGCTTGGCTTTCCCGCACCCCTCACCAGGCTTTTCCACCCACCCAGCCTGGCCGCAGGATGCATACATGCCCATCTTCAGGGGAGAGCCAGGTCTGCCAGCCTATCACCCTCCTGCCTTTTCTGCCAGTTCTGAGCCCAGGTTTCTGGGTGGGGAGCCTCTGTAGGTGTCCCTTGTGTAGGCGGCCTTGCCAGCTGGCCAGCAGGGATGGTGATGGCCCTGGAAGCACTGACCACTTTCTGCCCTGGCCACATGGCTCTGTGGCTAGGAGTCTGGTGTCAGGGCCACATTAAGCTGGATTTGATGCCTGTGTGACTTTGGGCACAGAACTTAACCTCTCTGACCTTCAGACTCCTTATTTATAGAAAGGGGCCCATGGATCTGGCTGGAGTATTCAGAAAGCACAAACTAAGAGCTCAGCCAAGGCTGTAGTCTGCTCTCCAGTCCATGCCTTGCAGGCTCCAGGAAGCCCCCTGAGTTCACCTAAGTTCACCCCCAGCATGGGAGGCACCCAGGTCCCACCCCAGCAGAGCTAACACCCTCTACCCCCAGCAAGGAGGGAGCCCCATGGGAATTCAGCAAGAGCATGAGGAGGAGCCTATGGGATAGCTGCTTTTCCTTCTGGGACGGGTTGGCAGACAAGACAGGTGGCAAGCCCACCCTCTCAAGAACTTACAAAACTGAGATGAGAAAAATGGCCTGGTGCAGGGGACAGTTCCCACACTCAAACTGTAAGTTGGTGAGACCCTCAGGAGCCAGGCTGCAGGTCGGGCCAGGCCCCTTAGCAAGCACGCCTTGCTTCGGGCTGCCCCCTCTAGAGATCACAGTCGCTGTAAACAAAACTGCCATGATTCAAACCGTGTGATCTTGAACCTACAGCAAAGCACCCGTTTCAAAGAACTGAACTGCTTGCTCACTGTGCCAATGTCTGTCCTCATTCTCTCTCCAATCCAGCCTGGAGGCTCCTCTGCCCACCATCACCTGGAATCCCATACTTCTCTGCTTTCCACCTGCCCCGTGGACACCCCTCCTCTGGTTTCTGTCCCCCTCCTTGGCTCTGTCCTCACCTCTCCTCTGTCCACTCCCTCAGGATGCTCCCCTGGGTCACATCTAGATGAGGCACTGCAAATGCTCAGAGCCCTCTCTCTAGTGGGGCCCACCTCCCCAGACTGAACTCCTAGCCTCCCCCCAGAGGAGCCTTCCCCATCTCAGGTAGCTCCATCCTTGCAGGTGGGGAGGCTGAAACCCCAGAGCACCCACTCTGTGGTGACTGAGACTCCACTCACAGCACACACCTGATTCATAGGGAACCATGCCGCTCTATTCTCCAAACTGGATCTAAGAAGGGATGAGCCACTTCTCCCTGCTCTGCCCAAGCCTTGTGAGAGCCCACCTCGCTCTCCCTGGTTTCTCCTGGATGACTTCCTAACTGGTTCTCCCTTTTACCCGCCTAAGTAAGCCCTGTTCATCTGCCACCTGGCAGCTGAACATGGTCAGATCCCACCCCTCCTGGGTGTAAAGCCCCTGGGGGTTCTCGTGTCCCTCAGAGAAAAAGACCCACTGTGGCCTGCCCATCCTCATTCTTCCTCCACTTCTCCTCCACCATCCTCCTCCCAGGCTCTGCCCCGCCCCCATGCCTCTTTTCTGTACTTCCAACAAGCCCTTTGCACTTAGAGCCTTGCCCCAGGCACTGCAGGGCTCCACCTCCTCTCCTGCAAACCTCTGACTACTCATCACCTCCCCGTGGGTCTCCCCAGATCACCCTAAAGAATACAGCGCTCCCCAACTGAACACTTCCTACCCAGCACTTGCTAAATATCAGATGACTTTCTGTAAGTCTCCTCCACTGCGAGGACAGTGACATTTGTCCTGGCCGCTGTAGCGCTGCTCCAATCACAGTAGGTGCATGGGATTTTACTGGCTGCCCATCCGCTCCCCTCTTCAGGTTCTCCTGCCTCTGGGGAAAAGGAACCGCGGGTGGGAGCCTTGGAAGGGTATTGAAAGAGATGGCCCAGACCCTGAGTGGACAGTGCCCAGAGTGGCCGTCCTTCCATTAACCAGCTCCACACAAAATCAGTCTTCCCCTCTCCACCCCATGAGGGGGACACCACCACTAACCCCATTTGACAGGGTCAGAGTCAGGCTCAGAGAGGTTAAGCGATTTGTTCCCAGTCCACACAGGTGGGGAGAGGTGGCATCTGGCTCCGAAATTCAACTCCGGGCTCTGGGCTACTGAAACAGGCCGCCTCATGGGGAGGCGTCCAGGCAACCGGACATGGAGCGAAGGGCTCAGGCTCCCGACAGCTTGAGCCTGCCACCGGATCCCCCAGCACGGAGCCCCATCGGGGAAGGAGGACTGAGGCGGAGAGACAAGGCCTTCAGCGATCGCGCCCTCCCCCTCTCCAGGCACGGCCCCGCCCGCCACTGCCACTGCATTCCTGGGGCCGGGGAGGCCCGGGAGGCGGCGGCGGCGGCGGCGTCGATGTGAAGCAGATGGCGGGCCAGGCCGGCCCCCGCCCCGGAGGCGGGGCTCACAGTGGGGAGGGGTCTGTGCGCCGCGGGATCCGAGCTCGGAAACCCCGCGCGGCCCCCTTGCAGCCCCTTGTCTGCGGCGACTGCCAAGCCCCCGGACGCGGCCTCCCATAGCCCTGCGGCTCAGGGCCCCCCGACGGAACCCAGACCGGAGTCCCGAGGCCGCCTCTCCAGCTTCCCACCCGCGCGGCGCCCCCCAACTTGCACCAAGGCACCCCCATACGCCAGCTCCTTGATCCCAAGAGCGGAGTTGTTCTTGACCTCGCTGTGGCCCCTGACCGGCCGACCAAGTCCTCTGACCTCTGCGCCCACTCCTAGCGTCTGTCCTCCGCTCTTTTCCCTCCGCGCAAGATCTTCGGCCCGCCACTTTTCCGCGGGGCCTGCCCATTGCCTGTCCCACGCTGGCTTCCCCAACCGACACCTCGTGGCGTCCCGTCTGCGCGGCCCTTCCGCGCACCCAGAATCCCCACCGGGATTTCCACATCTTTCCGACTGTGGTGCACGTCATTGTCTTTTTGAATCCCGCTTCTGGTCCACTCTGAGCGCAGGCTCCTCAGTGCGAGCTCCATCACCAACCTCCTCCCACCCGCGCCTGCCTCTAAGATACAAATCTGTCCTTCCGAGTCCTGCCAGCCTCAAGATGCGTCGGCTCCCACCTCTCAGGAGCGCTGCTCCATCTCCACTCGACCCTCACCCTCCCTCCCGCCTCGAGCCACACTCGTGCCCGGGGCCTTTGCACTTTGCACATACTCTTCCATCTGCTTGGAATGCCCTTCCCCGACTTCTCCCTATGGCCTTCACAACCCGGCCCAAGGGTTCCTTTTTCAAGGTCTGAAATCTCAGACACCGTCTGTCACCCTTCGGGGCGCCTACTGCACTCCGTTCTCCCATCGGCTGACTTCTCGTCTGGGGTATCCTCGGATGCACCGTTGTGGCCCGGTGCCCAGGCTCGGCCTGGAGAGGAGTCTGCGTCGGCGAGGGCGGCGAAAAGGTCTAGAGCGTTTAGCTTAGGAAGGTCCCGGGTGCCCCCTCCCCTCGGCCCCTAGCGTCCCCCTCGACCCCCTCCCCCAGCCAGGCCGGGCTCCTACCCGGGAGCACGGCACACGTTGCGGCCGCGCGGGTTCAGCTCCTGGGAC